ACTGCCACCCCCGTAATGCACGTAACTATCGGCCATCTGGATGGTGGGAATTATTTTCAACCAGCAGGCGACAAACGCCCGCATGTGAAGTTTTTTTTTTTCCTCTCTCACAGCGGAGCCAATTTTCATCCGAGAGACAAAAGACCCCGAGAGGATAGGACGTACACCCCCGACAAGCACATAAACAAGCGTAGCAGGCGACTCCTGCTAGCGACATAATCACAATTTACGTACTACTTTTCTTTATTGTCTGACGGGGCTGGTCCCCTCATGGGATCGCGGGTTATGCCTCTCCCCAGACCCTCCCCACGTTGCCCCCCGTACTATCAGGGGTAGCGAATAACCGTTGCACAGTGACATTTACGCAGGCAGAAAGTCACTGTGTCCGAAACCTATATCCGAAGTCGCGAGGGAGGGGGCAAGCGACACCCTGTGGGCCTGTGGCCGTCGCCGCTCGAAATGGCAAGTACGCTGCAGGCCCCCTGTGCCAGGGTGCGGGCTTAGGGCTGGGGGTTCTTGGCTGTAACCGTAGTGGTGCTTATAAGTCGCTGGTGTACGAGGGTGTGGGCTGAGGGTGTGCGCGCATTAAATCTCGTCCGAAACCGCGATGGCCGCAGTTCGCTGCGACATCCGTGGCTATCGCGCCCAGTCCCCCATGAGCGATATAGAGGGTCGGCAGCGCCGGCGGCGGGCGCTCGGAGCGCGAATGGCGGCGGCTAACGGCGACGACACGGGCGTCCCCCCTTAGAAGGGTGGTGCCACCTTAGGGGTGCCATCCTGAACCTAAAATCAGGCGGGTAGTTCCGAGCGCTGGCAGTAACGCCGCTGCAAATCTCCACCGCTTACCCGCAGCGTTGCTGTCAAGCATGATTCGGCATTAGCCTCCGAATTCGCCCGGCACGAGTCTCCGACGCGCCAAAACCCTAGCCATAACATCTACGAAGCCCACGAAGCATTGAAATCCGGTTATCGATTCATATACCACAATCTATAAAGTTCCCTATTACCGTAGTCGTGTGTGTGTGTCATTAAGAAAGCAAGTTCAGCACGTTCATCTTCTTGGTGTCGGCCGGCGCCGCCAGCGCTGGCGCCACAGCTGCCGGCGCTGGGGCCACGGGGGTGTGCTTGATCGGCGGCAACGTCACTGGCCCCATCAACCCCACCGGGGGGAGCAGGGTCGGGAGATCAGGCAGCTCAGCGGGGGTGCGCAACGGCGTCTCGAGTGGCGAGAACATAAACTGGCCGGGGTAGTGGGGCGTCGCCGAGCGCAGGCGCTTGGCAATGTGGCCGTCGTCGTCGATCAGCACCAAGCCGAGCGCCTGGTGGCCCGCGGGCGCTTCCGGCGACGTACAGAGCAGCAGCACCGCGGTGACGTTATTCGAGAACATCGGCAGCGTCTCTCTGGTGACGGCGGGGGGAGGCAGCATCGCCGCCGCCGCCATCGGCGGCACTGGCGGCGCCGCTTGGTGCGCTGGGTGCGACAGCTGAGGCGGGAAGGGCGGCGGGGGCATGATCGTCATCGGCACCGGCTGGTGGATCAACACCAGCTGGGGCCCGCTCATCACGTAGCGCGGCGGCAGCTGGGGCGACATCACCTGGTCGTGGCTGACGGGGACGTAGTAGATGGGATACCCTGGCGGCGGCGGCGCCAGGGCGAGGCCGATGGCGCCCGGGGGCGGGTACATCGGCGCCATCGACACCTCGCGCGGGTCTTTTCTGCGCTTGCGCACCAGAGGGTTGTTGTGTATCCGTAAGTGGCGGGTGAGTTCGTCCGATCGCAGGAACCGTTTCAGACACCCCGGGAACGTGCACCCGTGGGGCTTCTCGCCGGTGTGGGTGCGGATGTGGCGGGTCTGGTGCTCCAAGCGGTTGAAGGCCTTGTCACAGAAGGTGCACTTGTAGGGGCGGTCCTTCTTCGGCGGCATCGCGGCGTCGGGGGCACTGGGAGGGGGCAATTGGGGCAGGGCGAGCGAAATCACTTTGGGCAGTGGTGTTTGAGGCGGGTGTGGGGTGGGGTGGTTGGTGAAGGGAAAATGCGGGACGAGAGAGGGGCAGGCGACGTGCTATTTATTTTAGCGCCCCCCGCGCCCCTCCTCCAGAATCCCACACGACGCATGCACTAGGGTTCTGGGCTAACCGGTTATTAGGGACGGGTCGTCTGCACTGTGTGCAGGACGGGATTTTTTATATTTCGTGTAGTGAGTGCACTGGGGGTTCGGATGACGCTGAGCCCGGGGCTAAAGTCCGTAAGCCATAACGGGCGCCACACGCCTGCGAAAAATAAAATAACGAAAGAAAAAAAAAAAAAATAAGTGCATCCGAGGGGCAAAAGAGGGGTCCCTCCCCCAACACGACTACAACACCCCAACATAGTAGACAACTCCATAAACAACAGGGTACCACCGCTCACGGCCTCACCTATCCACTCACCCACCACCATCAGTAGCCCCTACCCCCTAACATCCTCGGCTAAGGGACGTAGCATCCGGGGGTTGCTCTTGATTATCCCAATTTTATCAAGCCGACATCCGCATGCAGTGCATATGAATGAGGTGCCCCGGCTTGCCCCCCAGACGCTGACGGCACCACAAAACGGTCACCGGTGATACTGCTTTTTTTTTTTTTTTTTTTC